AAACGATGTGTATATATATACATATACATACACACACGCAGGTAAAAGTATGCGATTCACACTGACTTGCAATGATATTGAAGGGGAGAATGATACGATATACTAATAATATTGAAGGAGGAGCGCGACTGATTGAAGAGATGAACAATGATTTTGAACGAGGAGCGCCACAGATCGATGGAGGAAGAAGAGAACGAGTAAATTAGGGCACTTGATGTTAGGGCTTTAGTAATTGGGTCAAACTGTTTTTTAAGGGCATTATAGTCTTTATGTTTTATAAGGGTTGTTTGGTCATTTAGATAAATAATGGATCTCAGGCGAATGGCCATTGATCGGCAGGTCAACCGATTAGGTAAATTGCAATCAAATTGGATAGTTTAGGTTTTTTATTTTTTTTTTTATTTTTTTATTTTTTATTTTTATTTTTTTTTTGAACTATAGGGAGATTTTTTGCTCATTAAAATATAATTGAGGGAAGGGTTTAATGTACTCTACTCTTTAAGATAAGATAACCTAGTTTATAATTTCTAGTTCTCTACGCTACACTTGTGCGCGCTCGTCATATGTGAGTTATGTTGCACGGGATCCATTTACTTATAGGTATGATCCACATCACGCGAGAAGATTAAAAACTGTCCTAAAGATTAAAAATTGTTTAATATCTAATTGATATGATATACTGATGATGAAACACAGTTTATTTCATGGTACATAACATCAACTTAAACTTTTTAAACTCAAGAGTCACACGCATTTAAATTTTCATTCAAAAGAAAATGCACGTCAAACTAGAATCAAGCACAGATTGTCTACAATGTACTTAAATTAAATTAATATTTTTTAATTCAATTTTAACTATAATTATAAAACATATGATTATTATTTTCTCTATTCTAAAATAAATATCTCTTTAGAGAAACTGTCTCACAAATTATGAGTCTGAGTTCCCAAAAGAAACATTTTTTTTGAACCAAAAAAATATTCTTTATTTGAAAATATAAAAAATGAAGATGAGTTTCAATTGGTCCAAGGGTTAAGCCTAAAAAACTCTCTATTGTTTTTAAAATGTGCATATTAGTTTATAAAATTAAAAAAAAAAGTGCTAAAAAAGAAAAAAGTAAAAATGAAAACTCTATTTTACCCATTTTGCCCCTCACCCATAAATGCATTATCTGAAACGTTCCCAACTCGAAATTGTTCGAGAGTTAGTTACTTTCACATCATCACTTTGTGTTTTTACACAACCAGTGTTGGTTGTGTTCGTTGTCAACCAGTGTTCATCATCAAGTTGCAGCGGTGCAGATTTCTTTTTGATTTGCAGAGTTCTTCATTGATTCGTAGAGATCCGACCCAAGTGAAGGAGGATCGGGTTAACTCGACCCCTGCAGATTCAACCCAATTGTGGTGTGGTTCTGATCTGATTAGTTTCTCATATCAGTTCAGATCACGTTTGTTTTATTTATTTATTTATTTAGAGGCTAGTTCTACTTATTTTATTGGCTGGGCAGTGTTTCAGTTTGGTCTTGGCTGCTCTAGTTTCTTCTCTTCTCAACTTCTGTTTTGTATTTCTTCCCAACTCCTGATCCATGGCAGAACCTAGTGAAATCAAGACAAGTGCTGCTGCAATTGCTGATCATGTTGGACTGCAATTTACATGATCAGAAATACCAATTATTTGTTATGGGCTCAGGCTGTGAAGATATCTTTAGGGGCGCGAAGCAAACTCAAATACATTAAAAATGATCCTCCATCTAAAACTGATAAAGGATATGATGATTGGAAACTGAAAATTACATGAAAATTATATATTGTAAATAAGCTACACTTGCAACTGTGTGTGTGTGTGTATATATATATATATATATATCAGATTTTAGGGTTCTCTGTAATATGATGAGAACACCACCAAACATCTCGTTTCTCTCTGTGTCTCTATCTCTGTTTTATCTATTTCGGTATAACCCTGCCAAGGAGAAGCTGGGGTTACCATATAAAACTGGGAACAGTTAAAGAAAAATTATCTTAATATTTTAAGAAAACTTATAAACCTTATCTTAATATTTTAAGATATGATAAGTTTTTCACTTATTTATTTATTTATATATATATATTTGTTAATAAGTAGATAAAAGAGTCATTTTACGTAATCTATATTTATAATTATTAATTTATTCAACTGAAGTGAAGTGAGAGTATTATCGCCATTTTATACTACAGTATTATCACCATTTTATACCACAAGAACTTATTTGCACATAATTAATAATTTAAGTGGGTTTTTTTTACGATAAAGCGATCGTTTTGCATTATATCAACATTAGCAGGGGTTGATTGGTTTTTTTATTTTTTTATGTTTTTTGTTTTTTGTAAACCCTTGATCCAAACAAGTTCAAGTTGTACGGTGACAACTGTTGCCAGATCTAACCTTTTACAAATGTACAGTAACTTTTGTATGGTTGTTGGTGGGGTTGAAGGTCTAGTCACATCATACATACACATAGATAGATAGATAGACAGAGAGAGTTCACAATATTAGTTAGTTACATTCATGGTTACACTAATTAGTTAGTGGATAATATAATGAACGATGTATTAATTAATAATTATTTAAATATATAAATTAATATTAATAAATTAAAATTTTATCTATTGAATTATAGTTAAAAGATAAATAAATAATAAATAATATTAATTTTAAAAATAATAATAAATAATTTAAATAACTCAATATGTAGATTTAATTCGATCCAATTCAATATGTGAGATAATTAATTGGTGATAAATTAAAATTCTTCTAATTTATTAAAAACGGAACGAAATAAAAATAGTACCTAATCTGATCTGATTCGTAACCATAACTTCAGTCAAATATGCTCCTGTTCACCACTAAACTACACTCATCATCATTATTACACCAAACAAAGGACCATTTTATTGGGAAGGAGATAGATTCCAAAGTCCAAACAAAGGCTTTCACAAAAAAATATTTCAATGTCCGTATACAAAAATATTTATATTTTACGTATTTATATGTATATGTGATACTTAATACTATTAGTATAAAATTTCAATCAATTTGTTGTTCCTTAACATAATATATATATATATATATATTTAACTTGCACCTAATTATCACTTCAACAGTTATAAATTTGTAATAAATAAAAAATATTATTCATTACAATTAAATTCATATATTTAATATTTTATTTAAAAAAGGTAAAAATTTATCCTTAATTAATATTTAAATGTCTTGGCATGGCAAAGTTATATATATATATATGCCGGACGTGGGAGAGAGTAAGAATCGAACCCAGGCGGATGCAAATATACATTTGAATCTGATTTACGCATTTGCTTTTTGTTTCATCAATATAATCAATGTGTACCGGTGCTTTCCTAAACCTAAATTATATATATATATATAGTAATACGTATATGAAGAGAGATGCGAGCCAGCTGTTTGTATTTATTGGGGGTATAAAATGGTGGGACGCTCCTCTTCTCTTTCTATATCTCTCCCCCTCTCTCTCTCTTCTCTTTTCTGTAGTCTGAATTCAAATAATATGAATCTCTCTCACACAAGTCTTCTCTCTCTCACCCGCGTCTCTCACACAGTTGTTCTTCACTGTGCCAATCTCCACCCTGAACTCGGTTTCCCAACAGAGAAACGGTGTCTTCTTCACTACATCATTTCCAGTATTCTTTAAATCTCATGTTTTCTCCTCTCTTCTCCAAATTGAAAATGCCTCTCTTTGATTATCTGTTCTCTCGCCGGAGGGGAGACAGACATGAGTAATTTTTTGAGGGCATTTTTGTTACTTCTGGCCGAGCTGATTCCGGCGTCCTGCGAACAGGGTGCAGTCGGCTCGGATGCCTGTTGCTCGCTCCGGCGAGTAGGATGTTGTTGAAAAAATGTACTACTGATCCATCCCCGTTCAAAAACGAGGGGGGCTGGAAAACATCCAAATTTGCATCATCAGCGTCACAACAAGTTCTCAACATTAGGATCGTGATGTTCACGCGAATGATAGGAAACATCCCACGAAAGGCTACTATCCCAAAGATCCCAAAGAATGGTTAAAAGCAGCCTTGAAGAACCCTCTAGATGAAGGCGACTTTATTAGTTTTTGGCTGGTAAAGTATGATGGTGGGAAATGATATTTTAATGGGGGATATGGAGTTACGCCATGATGGAAAAAAATAGCAGAGCCCTTTAGGTGGAAATGGAGAGGAGGGGACTGGATTATTCTGTGTGCATTTGTTGGGTTTACGGTTTTCACCTGGGGTGCCCTTGTAGTTTGTATTAAAGGGCTTTGCCTTTTTTTTCAGTGTTAAAATGCTTAATTTTCAAAAAAAAATAATTATTATTAAGCAGAAAAGATTGTTTCATGTAATTTTTTTTGGTTAGCTAACAACAGAAAGGCTAACATAATTTTTTTGTTTGTTTTTTTTGTTTTGTGTGTTTTTTTTTTTGGTTAATGTAATGTTACTTTCCGCGCAAACACCAATTTACACAAATTGTAGTAACCTCCATCAACATTCAAGAAAAAATTATAATTTTTTATGTGGAGAGATGATAAATTACTGAGTTATTAACTAATGCACTACTATTCAATAAAAAAATAAAAATAAAGCCATCGTTTATTCCATTCTCCAAATGATAAAATCCGAGAAAAGTTAGAAAACCTTAAGAACAAGTTTAACCTTTTGTATCTTACACTGCTTTTAGAATGACTGGACTGGAGTAAAAGAGTAGAATACAAGCGAATAATTAGAAGCAATCATTTACAATTTTCGAAAAAATATATATACATATCCAGATTATATATAAGGAGGAAGCAAAATAATGAGCTAATAACATAAAGGGCTCATTATTCAATAATCAGACACAATGCATTTCTGTTCTTTCCCTTCATTTTTTTCTAACATCTTGAGCTAATAAAACAGAACTCAAATGTGTGTTCAAATTGCCAGGTTTAAATTAATGAGTCGGGTCCTGAACTGAAGAAAGAAATATAGCTATTTATTCTTCAAAATTTTTGTGGGTATCTACAACAATATTCGAATGATCAGTACGTGTGGACCAAAAAGGAAAATGAAAAAAAAAAAATAACAAATAAAAATTAATGTATTATTTCTACTGCCACTAGAACTTTACACTTGAAACATCACTTGAAACATCTGCCAACTAATGGTTGTTACTCCAAGAGGAATTGGATTTCACGGCGAGGTGAAGATGTGAGATTGCGGATATCATGATGCATCATCATCAACAATATTATCACCAATCTGTCTAGCAGAAATAACCCTATCTAGGGTTTGGTCTGGCATTGAGATTCCACTCGACTCCAAGTCTGCAACTATAGCAACTGCTGCATCGAGTTCCCCAAGATCAAGACACAATGTAATAATTTCATCATAAAGAGGGCTGCAGAAGACGAGAAAGCAAATACAAATGATTAAGCAAATGTAAGATTTTTAAAGAACATCTAATTTGTATTTAAGATGACCTACATATGAACAGGTTTATAAAATTGGCATATGAACAATTCCTGAAGAGATACGATGTCTTTAAATAATCAGGCGACTATTAGTAGTCTAGATCGAACTGATCAAAATGCGTCATTTAATGTAAAAGCATCAATTATTGGTTTGAGGGATCAAAACAGGGTGTATTACAGCCAGACACCATAATGGATATGATCAAGCAGTTCATATGATTGGAATTCGTTAAAGTTATCTTTTGCTTTTGAGCAGCTTCTAGCTCGACTCAGTGAGAAACAGAATGCACTATTTCCCTGACAAAAGCTAAAATATCACAGAGACTTATGACATGGTGTAGTGACAATCAATATGCTAACACAATTTATAGAACAATTTACTTGCATGGTAGAAGTAAAAAAGCTTTATGCAATATGCTCTTTTCCATGTGCACTTTTCTCCCTCAAACATATTAACCAATTTGTTTAGACAAATTGTCCCATAGAAACCATATATCGAAAATACAGACAAAACTTCCAACAGTTGAAATTTAAGAAGTTGGGGGCCAAAGAACATTATTTCCCAATCATAGAGCATGATTACAAAGCAGACGACATCTTTATGTCTGATGGAGTATTTTATGGGAAAGAATAGACGTTACTATGATGGGTCAATTTTCCTTTTTTGGTTCCCTTCAGCTATATATATATATATTTTTTTTTCTTTTTTTCTTTTTGTTGTGTGTGGAAGGAAAGGGAGGGGGAGGGGGTTATACTTATGCTAATAATTTAGAGGACACGATGATATAGTTTTGAAATTGTCCACAATGATACTAGTGTTGATAATTTAGAGACATGATGATATAGTTCTCAAATTGATTCTGACTCGCCCCTGGCTACGTGTACTAACTAGTTGATAGGGGAAACTAGCCGAACCGAACACCAGAATCCTACCTGCAAATACTGTTGAGACTAGCGTCTCAAATTCGATCTAGTCTCCAGAAGGCGAAGAAATTGTAGACACTTATTTATAGTTCTAGCATTAACAATGGGTAAAGGTATGCCGTGCGGTTGCACCCCCCAGCGCACATGCAGTTGCACCCCCTTAGGTACTTTCTTTAACACACAAACACACACACACATTTTGCTTTTATATGGAAGCCATATAAAAAGTTCTTGGCACTTGTTCTACATTATTTAGGTATCAAAGCCTATAGAATAATGATGCCTAGTACTTCTACATTGATGGATAAGCTTTTCCAATACACGAATATCCAAGTAACAAAACTAATATATATAGTATAGCCAAATACCATTAAACCAACTTGAATCAAGTGTTGTGAATAGGTTTAAATTCTTGCAATTTTGGTCAGTGAGGAGCTCCAGCAGTATATACATTCTATGTAAGGCTATTTTTTTAAACCAACTTGAACCAAGTGCTGAGAATAAGTTTAAATTCTTACAATTTTTGGTCATGAGGAGCTCCATTAGCATATACATTCTATGTAAGGTTACAAACTTCTCTTGTATTTGCTTCAATTTTCTTATTAATTTTATTCCCCCTGAAATTCCCACAAAGTTTTTAGACAAATGAATTTTATATATCATTCTAGAATGATGTTTGAGGTGATTATATCAACTTTCTGAGAAACTTTGACTACTTCCAAATAAGAAAATTCAACATTCAAGTCATCTCACATCAAGGACTTTATCTTACCTCCCAAAGGCATAACCGAGACTGTGTGTTGTCTGCAAAATTTTCAAGAAAGCCGTAGGGACAGGAGCCCTTATCGCTGCATGCAAAATCATGGCACAATCCCCAATAGTTGGTGTCCCACCCAATTCTATTACCTGAAATATTTTATCTTCAGTCCAGAAGCATATAACAAAAACTAACGCATTTCAGCAATAATGAATATCAAACAAAATGAAATAAATGTGGGTCCTTAGCACAATGTTTGTAGTAAATCCTTATGAAGGGAAGTGATATAGAAAGACAGCATATTGGTTACTGTAGTGAATTAGGTGGAAGTCGGGAAATCTGCCCGAGCAAAGCCTTCATATAACCAGAAGAAATTGTATAAGCATTGTATATAGAAACATGCCTTGAGCATCACTTTGATGGCCATCTCAACTTCCCATTCCTGTGACCATCTTCGAGGAGGTTTGTTCTTGATTTCTCTTTCCCATGTCCAACCCCATGCATCAGCAATTGTGTATATATCTGATACATCAAATACTTTCCTCTTCCTCAGCTCCTTAAGCGCCTCATGTATATCCTCCGGAAACCAGTCATCATCAGCATCATCCTGCATGCATAAAACACAATTATTATATCAAATTCCCACATCTGAAACCTAGGATCCAAAAGCATGACACAATACCAATAAAAAGAAAAAAGAAACCCAATAGGCAATGAAAATGCATGCACCTACTGAGAAGAGCAAGAATTAATATGTGCAAAACAAAAAAAGAAAAAGAAAATTGATTTGGTTGTGTTGGGCCCCATTTTGGATTCTGTTGATTTGGTGTTGTTGGGGATTCCATGATCTGTTGTTCTCCAGAGGGTATGCCCTCTGTAGTCTGTAATGCTTTTATGGCTTTGCCTTTTGTTGCAATATACATATCACTTGGCTATCAATATTAATAATAATAATACACACACACACACACACACACACACAAAGGTCATGACAGTCTCATCATCGGAAGTAGTTAAAAAGGTGCAAAACAAACGTGGAAATCAGGAACCAGGAATTTACACTTGTGTAGGATAGGTAGTCAGATTTTTCGTGATAGTTTTGAGTGCCCTAAAGAGGTTCGATATATAAGATTTTCAATACCCTAAAATTGAATATCAAGGGGCATGGTGCTTCATTTTTAAGGCCATAAAGTAATCTGGGCAAGATGAATTGGTGTTAGTTGGAAGATAACGGCATTCTTGGTTGCAGAGTGAGGAATTTTTTTTACAATCCATGTTGCACTAAGACTGTGGCAAATCATTCTTTGAGAAGCAAGGGTCTTCGGAAAGATATAAATGACCGTAGTATTTTTATCCATGATGTAGGATTTTAAGTGGAAAAGGTTGGGCAGGCAAAGTCTTGGAAGGATGTTGGGTGTAAGGAGGCCCCTCTAATGGAAGAATTTCCACATTTCTTGAGATTTTAAATGATTATGGGAAGACTAAGCATTGATGAAGAACCATGGAGTGGTTGATGATGAGATGCATCAAAATGTAATTTTCACTAGAAATTTGCAGGACTAGGAGAAAGGAAGTGTCACAGAATTATTCTGAGAACTCTAAATTATCAAAATAACCCGAGTCAATGATGTGATTATCTGGAGAAATAACAATAAGGGGTTTATCTTTGACAATGTTATTTTGTTCGTAAGGGTTATAAATTTTGGGGTGTTAATTTTCTGGGAATGAAATCATGGAAGTGTCGTATCCTTTAGTTCAATCAAGGCAGTTTTCACTGCTTAGATGATTCTGAGAGGTAATTAAGTTTTGATCACTTAATAGTAGAAATATGTTTATTCCTAAACAGGACACGAGATTGATGGACAATTCATTGTTTCACCATTGGGCAGTACATATGATATCTGGGTTTCAATTAATATATTTGCACTAGAGTTGGTAATTTGCTCTATCAAGGTTTGATGGGATAGGTGGAGATTAACATACAATTTGCTCTAGAGTTGGTAAATTATTGCAAATAACCAAGGAAATAGAAGAATTTACAAGGAGTTTCACTCAGTTTTTTCCAACCCATTGAAAAGATGGAAATGGAAAAAGTTTCGAAGACGGTATTTTCAAATCCAAAAAAAAAAGAAAAAGAAAAAAGAAATTTACTATGCAAGGCTATGTTTTTTTGCCTTGCAAAACATTGAAGGATAAAGGAGTACTTTGTTCTCTTATGATTCTATCGTACCCTTTCCTTTTAATGGGACTATCTAATTTCTTGTGTGCATACCTTGTGCATGTGGGATATGTTCACCTTTCCTTCTTTCCTTGAAGAATTTTCATGTTTTCCATTATTGAAGTTATTTGAGAACAAATTATTGAAGGCCATATGTCATGGAGCAGTTTTTGAAGGACAAGTGGCAGTATATTTGAGTGGCAGATATGGACGAAAACAACTGTTGTGAAGGTTGTTATAAATAGCAGAATTTAAGACTGAAGGTGTCTCCCCCCTTCAACAACAAAAATCTCAGCAGTTCACTTCACTTGCTCTTGAGTTTTACATTCAGCACTTGGTGTAACTTTAGTATAGTTTTTTCTCCTCTATTCCCTTCTCTTCTTTCATCTTCTATTCTCTACTCTCATCTCGTACTCAGTTCTTTATTGTTGAAGTGATGAATTCTCTTGTTTATGCAAGTGTTTCAGTGATCTTTTTTGCCTTCCCCCCCCCCCCCCCCCCCCAATTTGAAGTCCTTTTATTAAAGGCAAACTGAACCTTAGGAGGAGAGTAATTCTCACTCCTCAACAATCGCCTGCACCATTCACAGCCAAAGTGGGACTATGGTGTTTGACTTACTCCATTGAATTCACGATTTAAGACCAAAAATTCTATTGCCAAAAACCATCAAGAATTTTTATACCTCAACTGTTTTTCGAGAAAGCCTTCTCCTTGATTTTCTTGATGTGGCAGCAGTCTGGTCGGAATCTTTCAATAATTGCACTCCAATCATTTGAAGAGGTTTTGCAACTTCAACTTCCTTCTCCTTAACCCTATCACCCACTTGGATTTCAGTTTGTTCCACCTCCTCCTCTTCATCTGCCTCATCATCTTCAACCTCTTTTGCAACATCTTCAACATCAGCATCATCCTGTACATCTAGAAGTTCCAAGTTTTGCACATCCATGGGTTTGCTGTGATCATTGTTTAAGCCTTCCCCAAGAAAACGACTTCTCCAGAACTCAGTATTCCCTTCTTCCAGCTTGATCCTGGAAATTAATTCATCGAGTTCTTCATCAACCTGCCAAATGAATGAATTGAAATTCCATGATCAAACTAGAGTCATATACTCAAACCTCTAGTCACAACCAAGAAGCAAACAGTTACTAGGAATTCTATTATCTAATGAAAAACAGAAATGCCATGTCAAAAGGGCACATGAAATAGAAGGTGAGTAAGAATCACAAGCATAAGACTAACCTCTTCTTCTTCCTCTTCCACAGGAGGAACCCAAAGAGGCCGACCTCTGGAGCGATTTATTCTCCTTGCTTTTTGCACACGCTGGTAGAGCACATTTCTAGTTCCATCAATAGGCAGACCTTGCGCTTCTAATTCTTCCTTTAGCTCAGACACTATCATCTTACTGGCAGCCTTAGGCTTTAGAGCATTTTGGTCAGGTCCTTTTATAATTTTCAGTAATCTCTCCTCAACTCGGATATAATCAGATTCAGATGCATTCCCTAAAGCTGAAAGTCCTTCATTGCGCAAGGTTTTAAAAAGCTTTCGATGATGGATCTTCCACTCCTCAAGACATCTTTGTTTGAAGGAGGTTTCCATAGGGTTGGAATAAATAAATCCAAGGGCATCCGGATCTAACGGTGTTTTTCCTCTTCGGGGCACCCATCGCTTGCGCTCACCAGTAAGCCCACCCTCTGCGACATACCTGGTTGCTTTGCAAAGTTAATTGTAACATCAATGGAAACATAAACGCCTTGACTAGCAACAGACAATTGCTACCAAACTAACCAAAAGAATTAAACCAAACAAAAATTAATAGGAAGATAAAATGTTCGGCAACCATTGTATGCCAATTTAAAATATTAGCATTTGGAAAACAATCTTAATAGAATTTTCAGTGCATGAAGGCATTTCTTTTATAAGTAAAGCAGACAATTTTGCGTCAAAGTGTTTATTTCAAACTGGTTAGGCTTATATCTGATAGCTTAGGGGTGGAGTTTATGTTTATCCGACTTTTAACTAATGAATCCTAGGTGCATTTGTCAGTTTTCATTGAACATGATAAAAGGCATCTTAAATGACTTTCTCCCATGTTGCCCATAATGAGTATAATTTATAGCTTCTTACAAACTAAGTAACTTCATTCTGTTGTTTCTACTATAGCCATGTAGCAATCACATACTGTTTCTTTCTCCTTTATGTCTTATTCGCATAGCCCAACGCTGCACCATAAAGCAAACATGCTTTACAGTCCAACAAATTTTATCTCTTCTACAAACGAATAAACTATTACAGAAAGGAAAGGGCAAGGAGCGGTGAACACCACAGGTAGATAAACCATACAACACGAAGCCAACCTACAAGCGGAAACACTCCAAAAGGTAAAGCCTCAACAAGGAAATGGACCCTAGAATGACATTTTTTAACTGGGAGACAGTGAGTTGAATTCTCTCAACACACATGCAGAAAGAAAGGGACCACTTCCAGATAATATTGCTATTAAGTGCTCTAAAGTCTAACCTTTAATCATCAATCACAGCAACCCCAAACTCAAATGTGACAGGACCCAAAGAGATTCCGGACAAGGAAAGCTAAATGTCCCGGAGTATGAATGGAATTACATACTCTTGCCACGTTGCACATGAACACTCGTGAATCATCCATAATCAAGATATCCACCATTAGCACCAGTATGCATATACCTCTAGCCGTTGCCCAAACAAAGAAAGTCACCTGCAACCTTGATTTTAAAAATTGTTCCGAATTAGACGACAAAGTTGTGACCCTAATCGAGTTGGCCTGAGATAATGGTGAAACTAACAATTGTGACCAACTCATTGCGATTTGACTGCGACGAGTCAGGACACTACTGTTTTCGCCATCCAACTATGTAAATCTGTTTCTTTCCCAATGTCTATCATTTCTCTCTTACCACAACCTCTAAATAACCTCCAAAACACATCAAACTACTTAAATCTACAAAACCAAAAGAAAAAGGAAAAATACAAGATTTAATTGTAAATCTTTGATAAAAGCTTTTTGATCTTGAACACGATAGGTAGGATTGTAATCCCCCCTCCTGTCTTTCACCTGGATCTTAAATGAAAACATTTTTTATGTTAGATCTGACAATTATTAAAAGAGAATTAAATTTTTAACAAGGAAAGGACTGGACATATTAAAGCAGAGGGATAGGTCATCAAGAACCACATGCTTTATCAGAACATACAATTAATGTTTAGTCCCTTGGAATTTTTTCTACATTTAATTTTATGCTGTAGAAAGTGAGAATTATTTTTATACAATAATATTGCAATATAACTATAAGTGATGCATAAGCGAGAAAAGAAGAGTAACATAAACTTAGAAATTCAAGTAAAAAGATTTAACAACAATATATGTGTCTAACATCATGACAATTGTTTAATACTTAAGTAAATAAATCAATAAAATGAATGCAACAGCTTACTTGTGTTGACTGATAACAGTGAATAACATACACACCTGGCAATATAATCAATCTCGAATCCAAGTTCAGCTTCTTCTTGTAAAGGTTCGATCCAGGAGCTAACTAGTGTCCGATATTTTCTGCTTAAGATCATGGCTCTGGGTGGGATTGGTTGATTGTCCTTCGCCATAGCTTCTAAAGCTTCAAGCAACTCAACAACCCTTCCTGAATTAAAAATAACAACTACCAGCTTAGAAACATTTCAATATGAACCTAAAAGAGTGATTGGAAAAACAATATCAAGAACCACATCACTCTAAATAATGACCTAGATTCTGGCAATGGTATAAATCAAAGGGATTATGAAGAAAAGCCCTAGAAAAATATATGAGAGAATGTTATCTTAATTACTGATTTAATTATATGATTTGCATTCAGTTGCAGCAACAGCGATTTGAATTTACCACTTGACACATACTAAAATGAATCCTAATACTACACTGGCTAGTGTGGTTATAATGCGCCCCCATTCCAGAATAACCTTTACTGTTTGTAATTGAATTCTCGAGACTTATGTTGGAAAGGTCATAAACTCTCAGGTTTGATATACCCTTCAACTTGTCATTGGTGGATAATAGGATTGGGGATGACCTTTTTCAATCGAAGTTTCTTTTTGTAAATCCGGCACAATCTTAAGTTTTTTGCGTGGTTACCAGAAAACATTAAGGTGTCAAGGATTCTTAGTGCTACTGAGACCAAGACTAGCCTTTTACTTCAAAAAGCATACAAAACCCCATTGCCTAACTGATCCTTTTTTAATTCTATGAATCTCCAAAGTAAAGAAAAGCAAAATTAGAGAGGAACTGGAAAAGAGAAGAGAGAAAGAACAACCTGAACTCTTTCAAGTACTCATTATTAGTTTGTCTTGCAAGTCTACCTTATTCCCCCCCACACACCCACCCAAAAAAAAAAAAAAAAAAAGCCTATTCATAAACATTAGCAAACCCAAACAACACAATGTATGTGACGACCTGCGTGAGTGAGTGCGAGACACTGAACGAGCTACCACACTTGCAGGCTTCAGGGTGTCATATCACTTGGGGAGGTGAAGTGCTATATGTAAGGTTCAACACCCTTCTATGACAGAACACATTTTAAAGCCGTGATGGCCCATTAGAACACCAAAGTTAGCGTGTTAACTCTGGAGAAGTACTAAGATGGGTGACCTCCTGGGAAGTCTCTGGTCCGGGGGAGCCAAAAGCGGACAATATTGTGTTTGGATAGAGTGATGGTTGTTACAATGTAACCTCGGAAAAATTAACCCCTGCTAAAATAGTAATCATATGAGACCCATTTAAAAAAAAAAAAAAAAAAAAAAATTGTAATTGAACATGAGACCAGAATTATATTTAATCTAAAGATAATGAAATACAACAAGCCATTAAAATATCCACTTATCAGTTATAGTCTGATTTAACAAAATAAATAATCTCATATCATCCCATTATGGGCCCCATGTTGATTAGAGATTTGCAGATGTGGCAATTGAGAACACTCTGATTGAAAGGCCATATCTGAGGATACATCATTATGTTCTCTTAAGCAAAAGAGGGGCTACTAGGTCAAGAAAAATGGGGTTGAGAAAGAATATTTTCTACCGCATTCGTAGGTATCTCATATGAGATATTTCAGCACGCAATGTACAATCTTTAAAATAAATGGGGGATAGAAACTGCTTTTTGTGCTTTCATCTATCATTTTCTTGGGAATTGAGAAGTCTTAAATTAAGTTGCTACATAAAGGTTGTGCACATCGGGAAACCAATACGGCCCGTGATTTTTGTAAGGCCCACAAATCTGCAATGACATGCAAGACAGCCTCTATAGGCTGCTACTGACCCATAAAGTCAAAATGCTAATTTTTAAAGCTAAATTTCTGTATTCTTCTCCTATTTATCCTGAAAAACATATATGGGCTACGTCTTTAAAGAATCATACAAGTCAAAATCACCCCCATCTGGAGGGCACAACAGCATGAAATGATAGATTGCAATTTTACCTATGCCAACAACACAACCAAATCACCCTCAGTCATGAAATAATTTAAATTAATATTGAATGTGACAATTTTGGGCCAAATGGCGCTGAAAAATAAAAACGGGGTTGAAATTATCAGGAAGAAATGGGTTCTGAATGTGTTTTTTTTGTTTTTTGTTTTTTGATTTTTGTTTTTTTTTTTTTCTTTTTGGGGGGTGGGGCAAGAGAGAGAAAGATAGATCATTCCTCTAAGTAAGATAAAAAAAAATGTAGCCATACCTTCTCGACATAGAGCCCGAAGGTACAACGAAAGTGGATCCCCAAATTTCCCCTCATCATGTAAAACTTTTGTTCCCTCTTCAAAGTTTTTAAGGGCACGAAAATGTCGAATAGCTTCACGTACTACACAATACTTTGTGAAGCACTCTACCAACAGCCTGAAGAAGAAATTACAGTATCACAAAAGAAATAAGTCAAACTCCAGACGTCAGCTACACTTGGAATAAAACCAGGAAAAAAAAAACAGAAAAGAAAGAAAGTTATAATGCAACACATTCTCCTAGTTCTTTTTTTCACTTGATATAGCATGGGCCTATTCATGGAGTCCTAGAATGCCCAAAAGATGAACAAATAAAATCAATAACAAGCTTTCATGTAAGATAAGACGAAGTGCAAGAAACCAGGATTCTATATGTGTATTACTCTTCAAAATATAATTAACCTGATAGATAAAACTAGTTAATCACCAAATATAATGCAGGCATTGTGGTTAAAATGATACACCATATTTGATTGTTGAAAGTATAGTTACTGATCATATTTTTAGTGACTTTATGGAGAAAAAGACAATTAGCCAGAATTCGAATTGTTAGGAAACTGGCAGCAGGAAATATTAAGCTTGACTGCTATACAATATATACTAAAGAGGGAGGGATCTAAAGCTCGCACTCCACTCATTCTATTCTATTCTGGACTCCAAAAACATGATGCACAAAGTAGTCATTCTCTATCAAATGACATCAATTACAGAGCATTTGATAATTGTTGAGACACATACTAGTCATATGCTAACAAAGCAAAATGTTTGCAGACATATAGTTCATGTTAACAACCATCTACTCCAAAAGCTTAAGCTGTTGGAGAGGGTGTAACTTAAATATAATTAGATAAATACTTCAACATGCCCCCTCGCGTGTGGCCTTCTTTTTGGTCCAACAAGTGTCTTTCAATTTTTTAATTAGGGTGATGGTGAGGTTTGAACTCGAGACCTTTGGCTCTGATACCATGTTAACAACCATCTACTCTAAAAGCTTAAGCTGTTGGAGAGGGTGTAACTTAAATATAATAATATAAAACCTTCAACAGTTCCCATGTAAGTGGTACAGATAAATGAACAGACAGAACCTACCTCATAATTAGGTACTATATTAAGTTTTACTATATACTCTTATAGCAATTGCACTCCATTTTGCGGAGAAGAAGAGGAAACAAAAAGGAAGAGGAAGAGAGAAGAAAGAGGAGAAGGGAAAGGGAGGAAGAGGAGTACCCTCTCTCTCATTTAATTTTCTTTCTTTTTCTTGCATTTAATTAGTAATTAGCTTTTTAACTTTTAGTAATTAGCCTTTTAGTTTTTAGTTAATAATTAGTCAAGTCTTCATTTTCCATTTTTCCATTGCTTAAAGCCCAAATCTGCAGTCCAGTCTATGGGACTCAAAGGAGGGTGACTAGTTTAGTGTGGATGTTTGTGAAAGAGTAGTCTCCGTGACTATTACACTAATGCTAGAAAAGGAAATGAAAAATGAGAACATCATGCATTTCATGCAATAAAAATACTATATTTCCTTGTTCTACCATATTTGCATAAAATTTTCAAGTTATTTCTAAAATTAATGGTAGATTAAGAAAACGTGGTAAAAGAGGCCAAAAACAATAAATCCCTAAAAATGAGCCCTCTGTTTATCATCTTTCTTAATATGTCAAAGATCCCAAAAATATCATATTTCAACCCCACTTTATCAACTTTCTTTAAATTTCACAATTCCCAAAAAAATTATTTTCAAACTGAAGCAAACAGAAAAAGTAACAAGTCTTCTTACAATTGTAAGGGAGGCTAGGAATACTCCAATCACCGTCGGAGCCTAGATTTCTAAAGGGAAATCTGGGAAAAGCCTGAAGAATTGTTTGTAACTGATAATAACTCAAAATATATTGATTATGACTTGGTTACAGCAAATATAGAGGTCTTTACTTTTTCTAAAACTACTATTAGTGACACTTGACATATCCTAGAAAGACTTTTAGAATTCCCACACAGCTTTAATAGCACTTCACCGCTTTCCTAAATGAACACTTAGTAGTCCCAAAGCTTAATTAATTATTACCCAAAAAAAAGAATGACTCTTTGACTTTTTCTTTAAGGCACTTACCCAAAGCATCATTAATGATTTGCATCACAAACCCTTCATTTTTTCATTTTTCTAAAAAAATTCCCAATCCCCAAAAACATGGCATTTTAACCCTTCACTTTGTCATTTTCATTAAAACCCAAAAATCACACTTTGTCCTTTTCATCAAAACCCAGAAAATCACAAAAATTCCATTTTCAACCCTCTCATTTGTCATTTCCGAAACTCTAAAAATTATCAAAAATATATTTTTAGCCCACCATTTTTTTGTTTTGCAAAAGAATCCCAAAATCCTTGTTCCGTCTCACTTTCCCATTACTCTACTATAAAATCCCAAAAATTCTTAACCAAGCTATTGGTCGTTATTTAATTCAAAACATGTTTTTCTAAATTAAAACTCATTTGGGGTCATCTTTCATCAGAAATCATTACGAAGACTTTAAAAATATCTTTAATAATTTTCTGTGTTCTTTTCCCATGAACCCTGAATGACATCTTACAAGTTCAAAGGGATGACGCAGAGGGTTTCCCCCTTTCATCTCCCATTTATCTTGCTAGTAGAGGTCTAGAGCCATGGGTTCAAATTTTGTGTTCCCCTCCTAAGGCAGCACACCTGTGCTATATCTCATCTGCACTTCACTAATGATGCTTCATTGTTCTATGTTCATAACAGCATCAACTGAGGTCTTTGGAATTAGATATTCACAAGTATTTAGAATTTCTTCAACTTAGTTCCCAGCCTAAAAGTTAGATATTTAATGATCTTTATCATTGTTCACTATAGCATGAAGGTCTTGCATATCACCAGGTAAATTGTGATAAACGATATGCCCCAACAAAAGTGAAGGGGTCTTTGGCTGAAAATTAATATCAGCATGGAGGTACATGTAAGAACATTCCATGATGAGGAATCACATCAATAAGTGTTACTGGCAACAAAATCACAATAAATTGCACTAATAAAATGATATTTTTATTTAAGTAAAGATAAAAGAAAATTCTACTTACGCGTAGGTTTTCACATTAGGTTGCAAACGTCTGTGGTCTTCAACCATCATGCCAAGCAACTCAGCAACATCTTGTACCCTACAAGTCACATCCAAACCCCAGCAGAAATGAAATACAATACAAGGAAGAAAAAAAATAAAAATAAAAAGATTAGCTTGAGATGATTCAACAAAATGTTGCTATTAATTCATAAAAGTAACATACCATGCAGTAACTTTTTTTTATTTTATTTTTTATAAGTATACCATGCAGTAACTATTAGAGAATTTAAATATTAAAGATACACTCTCTTAAAGTTTTAGAGTAGATGGTGATTAACATGGTATCATATTAAACATGGTATCACAGCAGGCACATCCAGAGTTCAAATCCCACAGTCACCCTGATCATTAAAATTGAAATATGTGTTGGACCAAAAGAAGGACACACGAGCGTTTTAGAGGATTAAAAAAATAAAGTTACACCCTGTCTAACAGCTTAAGCTTATGGAGTAGATGGTTATTAACATGGTAGCATATTAACAGTAACAAACACCGGGTACCAAATGTCGAAATAGAAGAGCTACAACTCCCAAAGTAGACAACAAAACCAGACCATGCATGACCCAAATAATTGTTACAGGTCAGTCCAAGAAAAGGAGACAATCTACAAGTTCTCATTAACAAAGGACAAGAATCAGTGTTCCCAATATAAAACAAACAAATACAAGTCAAGGGACCCGATTTCCAAAATTTCTAGAGGTATAAATCTAGCTATGTATATCGTAACTTAGGGGCCTGATGTCCAAATTGGTCTTAGAGGTATAAATCTAGGTAAGGAAGAATGATGTTAATTATCTATATCCTAAGGCATTTGTAGGTGTAAGACAATAAACATGCAAAGATATGAATTTCTTTTTCTAATTTTTCACCATACCAATTTCAGATTTTCATAGAGCCCAAAATTTTATCCTTTGACCTTATATTGCATATGTAGTTGGTAGACTTTCACATACCATTTGCACAAATTGCATGCTTCTGTAGTACTACAATGGGAATTTGTTTTATTAGTCTCTACTAAAAAAACCATTACTCAGCGTTTTGTTTTTTGGGTAATTAACATTACTCGGTGTTGGTCTGTTTAGTTGAGTATGTTGTGAGGAGCCGATAGGTAAATAAACAACCTTTAGCATTATTTGCACAGAGTGATTGGTCTCATAGCTCATACTCGAGTCTTAGTTCTCCAACCTAGGAGTCAGAGCTTTTACCACTGACAGTGATAACAAGAAGTACATGATTAGATGAGGCATAATATGGTTATGCAGACATACTTGGGGAATATTACTGTGCATTATTGCCAAAAATATATTGTAAAACATATGAATTAATAGACATATACCTGAATTGACGATATTGAACAGAATAAAATCAAGCTTAGCTTAAGATAGTTATATTGTGGCCACAGTTAAAGCAAAATGAAAACGTTATATCGAGCTTAGCTTAAACTCATGATACCATGCCTTGGTTCAGTGATCAACCTGTACAGTCAAATTACATGACTAGGACATGCCTGTACACTTTTATGTGTCCAAGAAATATATTAACCAACATAACAATATAAATGTGCTCATCGATCTGCTACAGAATTCACCTATCATAGGACTCAGCTCTTGTATACGCTTGGATCACCCAATTATATGTCTCTGTATCTGGTTTCATATAATCTGCCATCCAAAGCTAATCATAAGTACCAAAAAGAATAAAATTTTCATGAACTTTGACCACAACAAACTAGGGACGAGTCAGTAAAGCAGGCACAAACAGAAAATCTGAATCTGCAAAAGTAACTGCAATTGCTTATTTTGAAATTATTTGTAAGTACTAAATCGATGATACAAAAAGCAACTCTGTGTGCTGATTTATAGTAGTAATAGTACTCAATGAATTTCCTACAGAGTTCTAAAATTTTGAGTTAAGTTATACAAGTACGAGGTCTAAGCTGAAGCTGAATTTTTTATGACAGTGAGTATAAAATAAGAACTAAATCACCACAAACAGCATTGAGATGTGGAGAAGCAGGACAAGAAACTTCATATTGTCCAATAAAGAAGTAAAAGTATCCTTGTCAATGCCTGGTCTATCAGGGTCCAGAATTGGGTGCCTAAACAACACGATCAAACAACGCCCTAGTGCATCTAGACTGTAGCTAAGCTGGCACGAGACAACCTATAGGTTCTTAGTTTCTAGGACTGAATGATGATGAAAAAGGATCATTACCCAAGGCTTTGACGTGTTAGAGTATGCATGGCTTAATTAGACCTAAAGGGAGAGGGGGTGAATAGGTCTTATGAATATTCAATTGTGAAGAACTAACTTTTCAAATTTCCGTTGCTCCTTTTTCTTTTCTTTTTTCCTAGTTGTTCCCCCCCTCCGTTGCTCCATTTTCATTTTCAGTTAATTAGTTAATCACTAATCTAAATTACAATCACACAAACATGTAAGCAATTAATAAAATAAAATAGAGACACAGGATTTTTACGTAGCAAACACTAGAAATGGGAAAAACATGGACCTAGTCCAGCCATGAAGAATCCACCATAAGAAAGGTATTATATACTAGAGTAAGCCGACTCTACTCCAAGAATCCCCTATTTACCTTTGAGTCTTTGACCAATACTCATGCCAGAAGATCCTCCATGATGTTTGCTGATGCCTATCAATGAGTTTGATCACCCACAAAGTTGCTCTCCATGGTTGTTTAAATCCTTGATCATCACAAATTTGCCCAATTGATTTGTCGCTATATTGACTTCATTCTACTCCTTTCTTTGGAATCTCTCAATCATTGTACGGTGGTCTATGAAGAAACCCTATATTGAATCTCAAAGCTTTGTCTCTCCAAAAGAAATATATTCTCTCAACATATGTATAAAGTTAAAAGATCTATGAGAGACACCCTAAACTGACTAAAAACCCCCCCTTGATTATAGACAATATAAGAGTCATATGTAGAGTAGGAAAATAAGTCCTTTTATAATTCTAATTAGACAGAGTTTCTAAAAAAAAAATTTAGTCAATCAATTGAGTTATTCAGTGAAGCACTCTAGATTTCGATATCAAAATTATCAGAAATTTTTTCGATCAATCGAGAAATTGATCGAAGCTCACTGTTATTGTAAATATCCCTGTTTGAAACTTCGATCGAACCTTTGAAAATTCCTTTGGTCAAAAACTCTAATTTTGAAAAACATGTCTAAAACATTCTTTTAATCCTTCTCAAAGATCAAACCTAAGTCATGGATGGTCACTGAAGTCTCACCTTACCTTAAACTATAAATGTGATTGAGCTTGACAGCTTTTCGCTGTATTCCTCACTGTTCTTCATCTTCATTATCTTCTTTCGATTGTAGACAAATGACTCAAGGCATTTAACACAAATTACAACCCCAAGTTTTGAGTAGGAAATTTTCAACACATGACTCAATAACCCAACAATGAGGAAAGTAAGAATGCCCAAAATAACAACTAAAGGGATTGAGTGCTTCAAATGGTTGAATATCAACGAACATATGGAGAAACAGCATGCAGGAGCAACACCGTAAAATGCGAAGATGAATTTTATATAGAACAAACAACTTAAAATGCTAAGACGAATTTTAGCGCACATGTTTTCCTATCACCACATCATGCTAAGACAGCTGGGTGAATCAAAATAGAAAAGCACAAAAAAAAAAAAAAAAAACAAAATAGAATTACAATTGTAATATACATTTTCTGCTCTTCCTCTTTACATAGTTCTCATTTAGAAAATAGTATAATTGTTATGAAATCCATAACAGCAGCAAAATCCCAAGAAAATTTACTTGATATGAGTAAGTACCAAAAAAAAAAAAAATTGTACCTTCTCCATATTCCATGTTCTCAAATGTTGCAAATGCAATTTCAGGTATACCACAAGTAGCCTACAAAAAAAAAAAAAAAAGAAGAAGAAGAGAGAGAGAGAGATCAGTAAATTGTTATAAGTAAAAGTTGTAATGGAAACAGCTGGGCCCAACAATCTTGCAATAATTCATAGCAAATGGACTCCAAAATGGAACTCATGAAAATGAATCAAGTTGATCGGACATTGCCAAAGCCTTCAAGATGTTCTCACAAACATAAACATTGAAAATGTTAACTACCATCTACTCTAAAAGCTTAAGTTGTTAGAGAGGGTGTAACTTGCCCCCTCACATGGGGCCTTCTTTTGGTGCAATACGTGTTTTTCAATTCTTAATTAGGGAGACAGTGAGGTTTGAACTCGAGACCTTTGGCTCTGATACCATGTTAACTACCATCTACTCTAAAAGCTCATGCTGTTAGAGAGGGTGTAAATTTAATATTTAAATCCTTCAACAAAAACCATACAATGTTTTCAAACAACCATGAAAGCTGGTACTACTTTTACATGGATTAGGTTCGAAGCCTCAAGCGATCATATAGCTAAATAACTTGGGATGTAGTAAACTCTGATGTGTTACTGTCCTCCCTTCAAGGTAGATAACTAAATCAGTTCATGACAACTTAGTAACTAGTAAACAGAAGGATTGTAATATTGATTTTTGAGATATATCATATAAATCAGACAATGGACTGGAGAAATGGAACATTTCAGTAGTATAGGGTTTATAAGTTACAGTATTCTAACTGCTTGAAGAGATATCAATACCTCAGAGTTTATTCTGAAAACAAAATGACTTTTCTTTCTTCGTAGTGTCATGGCAAAGATAGACTATTTCATTGTAGATGCATTAGAATCAGCTGTAATTCAGAAGATTCAACAGTTTCCCAGGCCCAAGGGTATTCAAAACGCCATTTCTTAAACCCCAACCTTTCCTCTACCTAATAAGCCTTTTCCCTAACATCTGAAAACCTCGACTGGTTGCTTCCCAAATTTCCTGAAACAAACATTCTTGAAATTTCAAGGACCTTACACCTTCCAAATAATCCAATTCCAAATTTCCAACACCTTTCCATCTATAATGCCTGGTACATTTGTTGCCACCTTTCTAAATCCTAGACCAACAAGCTCTCTGTAGTCCTAGCTGGCCATATAATTAAACATATGAGGCATCATTTGGACTTCTTTGATGCTGTCCCATATTATTCACAATTTTTTATGTAACTTTAGTACCTAAGCAATTTTCACTTATGTATAACTTTGTTCCAACAGATTCTTCCAGCTCTCGACGTTTAGTTATTGGACTGGTCATTTCAATTTTTAAAATTACACATTTTTCACTGCAGGTGCAACCTACTAACCAAACTAATGCATCACATGGAACTTTTATTCTGTAGAGTGAGATCCTACCAAGTTGAAACTTAAATCTTCCTCTAAGTTCTAAGTCATACAACAAATTCATTTTGACTCGTACAACAAAAGTATTACAGTTGATATATTATTTTCCATTTTTATACAGATCTATCCTTTATCAAGCTAGAAGATTCTTTAACAGTTCACAAATTGATAATTCTATTTTCAGAATCTCTAGTCCGTTGTTTCTCAGCGATAACAGGCTCAACTTGATTTGATCTACTCAGCCGCCAGATGAACTTATAAAAAATTAGAATATGCATTTAGATGAAGTTAACCAAAACTTAAGTGGGATGAAGTAATTAAAAACGATTTAAAAAAATGAAATCTAAGAGAAGATATAGTGTATAATTTCATGTGGTAAAAAACTCGGGCCAACAATGTGCGAATGCAGATTCAAGTCTAAAAGCAGGCACTTTGTGCAAATAATACAAAGGTTAAGTTTGTGACTTGTCAGCCACACGCAGCACTCTTGATTAACAGGGATGAAAATTGAGGAAATGGCCTTTTATTTTTTTGTTTTACTAGGTATATAATAATTAAGACTGCTGAATCAAGCAGCAAATTCAAGTCCTAACTAATTCAAAGAATTACACTAAACCATCACAAATAACATACAAAAATGAAAGGAAAAAACTGCAAGTTACCTGCACACTTAGAAGACAATTGAAATGAAAAGTGGTTGCCATCCTCCCAGCCGCTTCCATTTCATAGGCTATGGTTAATGCATTTGAATGATCCCCGACTTTACAGTCTTCCTCAATTAAAAGATCATAAAGCTCATCAGTAGCTCTCAGACCTCCCTTGGCACCCTTTAGAAACACGTTGTTGGCATCTTCCAGATGATTGGTTCTAACAAGCTCCTCTGATTACAAGAAGATAACCAACTTAGATTAAGTTGTGAAACAAAAAAATAAATAAATGAATAAAAAAGGAAGAAAAATCATTTGCAACAAAAGGAATCATGTCATACGGTTGACAAATCACTGTACCAACAAGAACCAGCCAAGCTTGGCGGATGTCAAAATTTAGCTTCTCCATTGCTGCAAGGATTTCCAAGCCCCTGGTGGCACTGCCTTTGGAACCAAACAAACGGATCAACGCAATAAACGTTTCATGAAGAGGCCTAAGGCCCTCACTCAACTCCCTCTTCAGTGCATGCATCTGCATGTAGCAATTATATAAAGTGACTACCTTCCCAATTGATTAATAAAAACATAAAGGGGAAATATGCAATTCCCGTCAGCATTTCTGATAAAAGTTAACAGTGATTCTATCATCATCATCATCATCTTTGCCTTTTATCTCCTATGAATGAGGTCAGCCACATGAATTCTCTTCTCATAAAGATTTGACATATATTTTATGGTCAGTTGTCTACCAAACACCTATCCATCTTCATTTTTGCATCCTGCCTTGGATACGGGGTCAGTTGTCTACCAAACACCTATGCATCTTCATTTTTGCATCCTGCCTTGGATATGGGGAATAGGAGAATTTTTTTACAGTGATTGTATTATTAGAACAAGTTAAAAAGTGCTAATCGCAGGCATTCCAACATCAGTTTGAAGTTGGAGGAGGAAAGGAGTGTTTCTATAATGGTGAAATTGAATTCCCAAGAAGAAATGCCATTCTGCATGCAACTAACACTTCGTTTGGCAGTATCGAATTGGTACCTTAGAATTGGTATTGAGCACCATATAAGTTCAAACTTTAAACAAATCTTTTCCCCAATTCCAATTCAAGGGAATGCCCAACTGCCAAAAGCAGCATAAAAATAAAGTGACATAAAAATATTACACACACAGTGAGAAAGATAGAAGTCCACATTAGTAGCAGTTGCTCACTAGCAGACCACATTGCTTTACATTAATGACAAATTAAAAGATAAAAACAGGATATTTTGAGATAAACAGGATAGAAAGAGCTGCATTCTTACGACAATTTCAAAATTATAAAATAAATTAAAGACAAATCAATATGCCAAGCATAAATGTGTGTGTGTAGAGAGAGAGAGAGAGAGAGGTCTTACAGCGCCCTCGGCATCCCGAGTGAGGACATGGGTGACAATCAATCCATGAAAAGAGCGAGGTCCAGGGCTAAGCCCGGCTGCAATCATGTCGTAAACGACCTCGGAGACTCCGGCAACGTCGCGATTCCGAGCACGATGCATCAGCTCCTCCATGAACACCAATCTCAGCCCCTTCTCGGCGCTTGACACAGTGGCCATGGCGGAGTCGTCTTTATTGGGCTGCGGCTGCTTCTTCCTCCTCCTCCTCGTCTTTCCCTCCGGCGCCGAAACTCCGGCCGCTACAAGGACTCCATTTCGGGAGCTCCGAGAGGCAAAGTTTACCGAAGAGTAGGTGAATTTCAGTGGCAGGTGTGAGTAGACCAAGAGATTCGCCATTATCTCTTAACACATAGCAATTTGATAGTATCACCCTGAAGAACACACAGATATATATATAGAGAAAGAAATCAGTGAGGAGAGAAGAAGTTGAAAAAGAAAAAGAGAGGATAGCGGTTGTTCTTGCGAGAGTGGGAACAAAAACAGAGTGGATATATATCCTTTCTGTCTTTGAAAATTTGGGGTTAATTTCACAAAACCTTTTTAATGATTAATGTTTTTAAATAAAACCTCCTTGGAGTATATATAAATGGAAATGTTGAATGAAATGTGGTAGGATAAAATAGATGTACGCTCACATTGTTTTTCAGGTAAAATAATTTTGGAATTATTACCTATAAATGGTGCTAATGACTCATGTTTATCATTTCATAGAGTCAAAGTTTCATAATTTCCAAAAAAAATAAAAACATGGACAAACAGTATTTAGCCTCAATGAGGTATCACTTTTAGACACTGGTACCTACATATACAAAAAGTGGTACCTGTTTGTACAAAACATGGTACCTATGTAATAAAAGTGGTACCTATGTGTCTAAAAATAGTACCTCAATGAGGATAAACGGTATTTTTTTCATGTCTACGTCAGCACATTGATCGACTTCATTTTTTTTTTTCACACTATAGGACTTTGACTCCATTAAATAATAAATATAAGTCATTAGCACCATTTATATGTAATAATCTCAATAATTTTTGAAATTTTTTTTTTAGGTAAAATATTTTTATTTTTATTTTTTTTGTAATGAAGGTTTAAGTCGAGATTGTGTCCGAGTATAAAATACAAATTAATAACCAAACACTAAAAAGTAAAAAATAAAAAATATATATTTTCTATAAAATATTTTACATTTAAACTAGAGGAACGCCACACCAAATTAACTTTTTTTTGGATTGAGTAGACTAAATGGAGTCACATTTTTTCTATAAATACATTTCAAGATTTATTTTCATAAGCATAATGCTTTTTTTAAACCATTTTTATTTTCAAAGCAACTAATAAGGGAGTGACCTAAACTTAAAATACTTCAACTTATTGCTAGGTGTTCATTTCTTTTTTAAGAAGCTCTTTGAAAAAATTTCAAATTTTTCATCAGTGGCATTAATTCTCCTTCAATAAAATTTATTATCCAGACTGATTCGGTTAAGCCGACCCCTCACAAGAGTAGAGTTCCAACACTTGTTAGTGATCGAACTCATCTGTGAACTATTTGGTCTGACGAGCATCACTCGTTCTTAATTATAAGCTTAGGACGGGAGTTTGGGGTGAACTTATTTTTTGTTGTAGTGGCAAATTTTGTATCCAAAAAGGCTCACACTTGCAATTAGATGAGTGAGTTTGCTTTCTTTTCACCTAATAAAGTGTTGGTGAATCAAAGTGCTTGACCTAGACTCAGGTGTGAGTCAAATTGATTCTCCATGGAGCAATTGGGTTGAGGGTCTATAGAAATAGTGGCTAAGCAGTTGACCATAAGTATGTTCCTCATTGTATGAAGTCTACGGTGGGAAATATAATGAAGATGAAGATGGATATGGAAGTTGATTGAGATGTATTTGAATAAAATTTCATTAATTCTCACAATTTTTTTGAATTAAATGAACTAGCAGTAATTTTTTTGAATTAAATGAACTAGCAGTAAAAAGTTAGAGATCGATTAGAGGAAAGAATTCAATATATTTATGTTATGTTTGGGAGTACTTAATGTAGAAATTGAAAAAAATTTAGTTTAAAATCTTAACTAATTTTACATTTGTTGAAGGAGACTCTATGTTATGACTTACGAGTTACTCATGATTTTTCTTAAAGCACATTTACATAATTAAGGGGTATCCACACATATAAGTCTTAACAACTTCTCCCCTAGGCGATGTGGGACGCCGCATTGAAAGTTTTGCATCCACGGACCTAGTCACTGGATTTTTTTCTAATTTGCATTATTAGCTATAATTTTTGTTAAAATTTTGAAAACGCCCCCTCTTAATTTGTAAATTTTTTAAAAATACCTTGTCTTAATTAATAAAAATATCACACTTCACATTTTTGCCCCCACTGATTTTTTGGATTCAAAAGATAACCATCTTTTTTTCACTCTCTACCGCCCGCCACATTCATGATTCTCTCTCACACACTTTGATGTTCCCATTCAATTTTTTAAAATACCCACTGCGTATATTTTTGTGTTTTAATCCAAAAGAAAGTAAAGTAAATCCGTTTTTTTTGTTTCTTTCCATCCCACATCCATGATAATCTAGAAAGCAGTGGGCACGGTTAAAATATCAAAGAATTTGGATCAGACAAACTACAAAAATTTTAAATTTTAAATTTATTATTTTATTTTAAAAAAATTAAAGCGTCCCCCCTCAAAAAAATTCGTGGATCCGTCAGTGTCTGCATCATGGGATTCATGGTTGCAATAGTTATGTTTAAGTCTCTTTGTTAAGAAGTTAGAAGTAATCACAAAAGAAAGATCATCTATATATTCATATGAAATCACAAGAGACAGATCATTTATTAATTTGCAAGCACAAAAGAAAGATCATTTATTAAAGGGTGTCTTTTCTAGGTTGTTAACAAGGGAGAACATAGTAGCAAAAAAGGTACTTTCTTAGGTAAATTTGTTTGTAGCCAAACTTACACTAGGCCTATGGAGTTTATATGTTAACAACAACAACTAATTCATAGAAAGGGAATTACGAACATGAAGTACAATGGTCATGACTTGTAGTATCACATAATGGATGGTTTGTTTCTCTGTTTTGACTTCTCCAAACTAATAGTTTCTGCTGAGCTCATGCAAGAGGGTGTTAACCTTAGCAGCATTCAATGGCTTTTCATGCAATTCATTCAAACCAGCTCCAAGAAATGCTTGCTTTTCAGAGTCTCGAGCGCGCGTAGTTACTCCCACAATCATGCTAGTGACACCCATGGCCCTCAACTCCCTTGTTGCCTATAAGTGAAATGAAAAAAAAAAAAAAAAAAAAAAAAAATTTGATTTTGAGTGTTAGGTTTTAGAGAAAAATGATAGAGAAAACATGTACAAAACTAAATACAGTTGAAATTATTGAGTAATTGAAGCAAAAGAATTGTAGAAATAGCGTAAGTTGAAAATGTTAGTACCTGAGGTCCATCCATGACTGGCATATCCCTGTCCATGAGGACTAGATCAAAGGATGCCCCGGCGCGAAATAGATCAAGAGCTTCTCTTCCATTTTCTGCAAGTTGAGTTTCGAATCCATGTTTATTTAAAAGCGCAGTGTGTATTCTTCGAATGATTGGGTCATCATCCACGATGAGCGCGGAGAATCTTCTATTGGAACCATCAATGGTTTTCGTGCTCCTTGAGCTAGAACCACCCTTTCCAAACACCATCTTTCAGGTCCCTGATATTCAGTCTAGGCATAAAAGAATCAATTATGTTCTCTAAAAGGTTGTAGTAGTAAACAACTGAGCTCAATGTAAGCAAACATTGTATATGAAATTAACATATAACCAAATCTAGTTGGAAAAAAAAAAAATATCACAAAAAAAGAGGGAGGGTAGCCCTGTGGTTCCAGCTATTGTAGGGTCTGGTGAGGATCAAATGTATGCGGCCTTGCCTTCGCATGCTGAGAAACTGTTTCTAGTTTTGAACTTGTGAAGGCACAATGGTTTTCATTGTGCAAAAAAAAAAAAAAAAAAAAAAAAAAATTGCAAAACCATGAAAAAAATGCAGGAAAAGAACTTTGGTGCCTACATATCAGCCCATGTGTGTTATATGCATTGCTTCTCTCATACAAACAATAAGCTTGTTGAATTCATCTCTACTTTTTGTACACTTCTGTAATCAAATACAGGCTTGAAAAATATCATTTTACTATATTGGGAATCAAACTAGTGAAAACTAAATAGAAGTAAATCACAATTGCAGAGTAAAAGTAAATTATATTTGACAGCAGTACAATAGTCAAAAGGATATTTGAAGTACCTTTCTGCTACAAGCCTAAAGCACTACTATGGAAGCTAGCTTGAAACCTTCTGTGTTATCACTGTCTTCCACACCAAAGATTATATATACACATACATGAATATGTATATGTATAATCTGCAGAATGCAACTCTTTCCTCGTGTAATTAAGAGAGCAAGCCCACAGGAGAAATGAAGGGAAAAGATTATCCGGTATTGAGATTTCCGCACCGATGGTAAGATACAAAATTAACAGCTGGGTCATTTGGATTTGGGTGATTTTAAAGTTGAAAATGGTGGGAAAGATGGTTTGTAAAAAGGTTGAAGACAAAATCTGGCAACTTGATATATTGCCTTGTTAAGATTGAATGTTTGTAAACTGGAAAATTCAGCATATCTAGCTTTTTTAAAAGTTGTGATAATGCCATTAATGCTATAACTTGTTTGGGATATGAGAAGATATATAAAATCTAGTTCGTAGATTTTGACATCTTAAAAGAGATTTTGATAGCAACATGTTGCCATGCAAATTAAAACACAACTAGGACATAGATTTTAAGCATGGAGTGATAATGGTAAAAGGTTTTTCATATATTGACAAAGTAAGAATATGTGTGTTTCTTCCAAGGGGACTCATTCATTTTCAATAGGTACAACTGTGTACCTGTGTACACAATGTTCTGTTACATTCATTCAGGGTATCGAACCAAGAATTGGATTTCGATTTTAAAAAAATAAATAAATTAGATTTATCAAATTTTCAAAGATATGATATAGTACAACACGGGTGTAATATATATTGTACGGTATCGGACGACTCCCAATACACTCACGCGCATTTACAAGAGTGTGATTCGGGAGCCGTCCAATGCAATACAACAACATTAAAGGAAATGGTGACGCCACACCAAAATGCGACTAAACTACCCATTTCATAAACGCATATGGGTAAAGTGCAAAAAAATCCCCCTAAATTATTGGCTTTCTGCAACTAACCCCCTGAACTAAAGATGGCCCTCCTAAACTATTGATTTGTTACAATTAAAGACAAACCCATCACAAAAGACTATTTTACCCTTTGTTATTAAATTTGTCATTTCTTATTAAATTGTTTTTTATCATATTTTCTCTTATTTTAGTATTAAATATATCATTTACCTTAATTTTATAATTAGTATCAATTAATTATAAAAATGGAAATAAATAAATAAATTTGTAGCTATCATTTTCTAAAATGATTAATTATTATAATAAAACTTATTATACTCACTTTAAAAAATTTTGGTATATAAAAAAAATATCTTCTTTTTCAAACAATATTCATGAAAAATTAATAAATTACGTAAATAAAAAATATCTTCTTTTTAATGCAATATATTCATGAAAATTAAGATATTACTTAAATTGTTTCAAAATTTTCTATTTAAGATTTTTATTTAAATAATTAATTTAAAAAATTAAAGGCAAACTTATGCAAATTTAATGGAGAATATTTCATCAAATTAGTATGAATTTTTTTCATAATTTATTTTAACAAGAAAAATATATCAAGTGTAATTCAATAAGAAATGGTATTATGGTCATTTAATAAAAAATAGGTAAGATAATAGGGCATTTTGTAACTAAATGTGATAGTTTAAGGGATTTTATGTATAAAACATAGTTAAGGAGAGTTATTTGCAAATTTAAACATAGTTATATATATATATATATATATATATATATATATATATCTATATATATATATATATATATATATTGTAATCTTTCAAATTCACAATATGCATCCCACTTTTTCTCACATTGGTTAGGAGAGGCTAACTGTCAGCCTCAATGTAAATAAATCCCAATTTGAGGTATCAACAATTTTCGGGAATTATTCAATAATATTAAATAATTGTCATTAATGTTAAGCAATCTTACTTTGAAAACTAACCAAAAAAAAGAGGGACAATACTTGCTTACTTACCAGTGAGTGGGAACTTCATACTTACCACCTATGTGGCAGGACAATAAAGTGACAAGTGTCCCTCCAATATAAAATAAAAAATAAAAAATTTGAAAAGTTATTTGGGTTAAACCCAATAAAATCTGAATAAAATCATAATTTGATTATTTCTCTTTCTCATAAAATTCAAATCAAACCCAAAAAAAATAATTGATGATGGTGAGACTTAAGAGTTCATTGTAAACCTAGCCACTCCTTACTAGAGTATTTGCATTAAAATAGGCTTATTAACATTATTCAAATTTTTAAAAAAGAAAGTATTTAGTCATGATTTGGTCAAAAAATAAAATTTGTTTTCTTAAGAATTCTTTTTAGTTGATTAATTATAAGACAATCATAGATTCATATTTATTTTCACATGTGGGAGACACCATTAACAAGTGCAAGCATCAACCTTTACACAAACCTTTTTTTTTTTTTTTTTTATAATTTATTTCCTTGTCAACAAGAAGGCAATGGAAGGTTAAACAACATAAGTCAGACTTCAAAAGAACAAAATCAATATATATATATTAGTTCAAACATGAAATCTTATCACCCATAATCGAAAATCCTAATCCAATTCCTTTCATGGATTTGATTTGAGCAAGATACTTGTAGTTGTGATTCCTTAAGGCTTAGGGATTAAGGCAATAGAGTATCATGTGAAAGAGATAATTAGATATGTGTTTGATTTAACCCAAATAACTTCTTAAATTTTTTATTAATTTTTTTTTTTACATTGTAGGGACACTTGTCACTTTGTTATTGCGCCATATCGATGGTAATTATGAACTTCCTACTCACCGGTGAGTAGGTAAGTATTGTCCGAAAAAGAGAGGAAGGCGGAAAGGAAGGAGTCTCAAAGGCTCTTTAGTCACTTTCATATACCTTTCATTTTCATTTTTGCATTTCCTTTACTTTTACTAAAGTTTGACTCTAGTGTTTCAAAGTGTAGATCTCTTAAGCTTGTAGGAGGATATCGATTTAGGTAAGAGTACTTATAAGTGTTAGGGTTTCATACACAATTGCTAAATTAGTAAATCTCGTATCCGAACTTGTCAAAGGCTAAAGTTTCTTCTTCCATCAAACTTTTCAACTATGTACTTTCCATCTATTCCATCTGTAATAGTTATCGCCATTAATTTGATATAGTTGTTAGGATTTCACACACATAATTGACAAACAGATAAAAGTATATACAAATAAAACAAGATTTACTGGGTTCGGCAAATTGCTTACGTATACAAGCGAAGAACGATTATCTTTACTTCAAAATTTAATTACAAATTTTTTTTATTCTCGCAAATTTAACTCACTTTTTCTCTCTCTACAATTATCTGTTTCTCTCTCAACCTTTGTACTCAAATCCATCTCTATTTATAGAATCTTCAAAACCCAATTCCTGGCAATAATTCCATAACTTGGCTCTAAAATAAAAGCATCTCAAACATAAAAGGAGACTAATTTTAATTTTGAGCCACAAATCCAATAATATTTTTCTTAAGATTTTGTTTGTGTAGTAGTAAAATTATAGAAGATCATATACACAATTGTCTTGATTTCAGTTTAGTGAGTCTTTTGGATTTTAAACTTTCGTTTAGCTGCTAAGAAAGTTCAGCTAACTAATACACACAAATAAAAACATATGTTTTGTACTTTCTTTCTTAATAGTTGTTTATATTTTAATTTTGGATAATTTTTAGTGTGTTAAGCGATTTTGGATTTTATATTTTAATATCTCTTCTTTAATTTAATTGAACATAAATTGAGATGATAAAACAGAGGTTTGCGAAGTTGTTCATCGGTGAAAACATATCAAAATCCTCTCTTGCTTTCACAAATCTGTCATTTTTAGTTAGTAATGTACGTTTGATATTTGTTTAATATCACAATATTTTCCTAACGTTCATCACTAATTATAAGAGATAGGACACTATTTCGTAAGAGATGATTTTAGTTTCTTTAGGAGATGGATTAAAATGACAAATATATATATATATATATATATATATATATATATATATATATATATATATATATATATAAAAGATATTTTTGAAATGTTAAAATAATAATAAAAATATAATAATGTGTTTATTTAGCTTATATGTATGTTGGTGTGGGGTCCACATGTAATGATTATATAGATTGAAGGGTTTGAGACAGCTTATGGTATAAGTGTTTGGTCTGCTTGGTGCCCACGAAATCATGCCTATAAATAGGCTTACCTTTATACAAATGAAAAGTGTAGAAATAAAAAAGGGCAGCTTTCTCTCCAATATTTCCGTCTCTCTCTCACTCTCTCTCATATCTTTACATATCTTATTTCTTGTATCAATTTATATTTCAATATCATAATTCATAAGACGTTTATAAGCACGAGCTCTAACCATCTGAGATTTGAACAAGAAGCTCTCTCTCCCTCTTTGTATCTCAACTATATATCTTTTTTGTGATATTAGTTTTGATATATTGTTGAGTTTGTTTGCTTCATTGAAGAAAATTGTATTCCTGACTCCAAAGGGTATGAAAATTTTAATTATTGATTATTGTTCATGAAATAAATTTATTCACTTAAGTGATATACGTGCTCATACTATGATCGGTTCTACCGCCTTTATTATTTAATGATGGTCGGTTCTACCGTCTTTATTATCTACTAACTATGGTCGGTTCTACCGCTTTTATTATTTAATGATGATCGGTTCTATCGCCTCTATTATCTACTAATTATGGTCGATTTTACCGCCTTTATTGTTTAATGATTTATGGCCGGTTTTACCGCCTTTATTGTTTAATAATTTATTCACTATGACTGGTTTTACCGCCTTTGTTATTTAAATAGTTCATATTATGTT